AACAACCCCAGGATTGAGATTGATACCATTTGACATGACAGTATTTAACAGTGTTACCCAATAAGCTTCTAAAACACTAACTCAACCTCAACACAAACTTCTTAGTAAAGGTCTTAATTTTTCTCCTACCCCAAAAACATATAGTTTTGAAGTCATTTCTGACGTCCAAGAATTTGCATGCAGATTATGACTTCGAGAATTTTTAATCTTTTAATTAATCTTTCACAAATCTCTATCAATGGGATTTTCTTAGCTAATATTTCGTGTGGCATCTTGCCAAAATAGTTTTAAAAATCCTCACCATTTCTATCATCCAGATGATAAGTAAAATTCTTTAAATGAGATACCACATTATTAAGGCATGTTGGCTTTAATTTATGATAGTCCACCAAATGATTTTCTAAAGAGTCTTTCATAAGACTCTAGAATTTTTCCCACTACACAAGTAAGACTAACCAGCGTACAATTTCTAGGGCAACTCTTATCACCCCTTTAAGAATAGCAGTAAGATAAGCAACTCTCCAATCCTCAGACACCTGACAACTCTCTTCTGACCCATCAAGCCTTATATTACTTTATCTATTTTTAACTTTAAGCTTAAACCTTTTTTTAGTTTTTATTAAATCACCATATATTATTATTAATAACTATAAAAGTATAATCTTATGCAATTCAGGTCAGTTCCTATGTTTCTCTAATGGTAAGACCTCATATTATGGGTAAATTGTGATCTAACAGTGAGTAATGTGTCAAACATTATTTTTCTGTCATGCTGCTGTAAATTGTGATGTATTGAACCTAACTACCATAGCCTAGACCAGTGTTTCTCAACTTTTTTTTGCTTGTGGCTCCCTTTTGCATTTAATTTATCTCTGTGACCCCACCCTTTGTAGATGCCCTTACTTAGGAAAAAAGTTACTTTATTTCCACACTGTTGATTTATAATATATTTATAAAATTATATTTACAATATTGTATTGTTTTTAAATATTTTGTTTATAACATACTGTTTACTTATACAAGTAAAAAATATTCTGTTAATCATTGACATTTTATTCAATGTGATCCTTGGGCCTGATGAACACTTGAAAATTTTTGAATGTCTGGTTGCAATGCGGTCAGTGATAAGCAAAGATCACCTCTATTCACAACATCAAAGAGGTTATGTATTTTTGATAGTAAATAAATCACTTGACTAAAACCAGATTCAACCAGATAAGATGTGGGAAAAGCAATAAAATACAACTTTGCCTTCTCCCAGAGTTGTGGAAACGTATTAGCTATTTCACTATTTATCCAGAAATAATGTTTGCCACGTTTGAATCTAGCTCAGGCTGTTATATCACTCTGCAGTTCAATGAGACATTCTTGTAATGTGATGTCAACATCAACTGCATTCACTCCAAATGGATCCACCACCCAATCTAGAATTTTTATTGTTACTCAAGTACTAGTCGCATCTGGTAACTTGACTTCTGAGCTGTGGGGAATAAGAGGAGAAGGGAACCTTTGATTAAATTTTCAATATTTTAAGTGGGCAGTGAAGTTTCAGTGGCCCACTCAGAATTTACTGTGACTTCCTAATTTTCTTTCATTCACAAGTGGCCCCTTAGAAACATGCCGTATATATGGCCCACGTTGAGAACCACTGGCCTAGACAACATCTAAGACAAAGTTCTAACCTAACTTTTGAACTAACATTAATAATATATTACTAGAACTTGGAAGCAATAATCCACTGTCAATGTCATACTCATATAGTCATACTACTAATACTAATAGTAGTATTACTACTACAACCAGTACTAGTCAGAATGATTTAGTACTAATTATAGTATTTTGGCACTTGTGTATAAAGTTAAAATCACAAATAATATTCAATGTTAAATAATCGTGTACCACTTTAACGTTGAATATTATTTATGATTTTGATTTAGTACTACTTACTAGTATTAGTATTACTAACTTATACTTATAGTCATCAATATCATTATCATTGTACAATTTGTATTAAGTAACAACGAAAACACTAGTTGCCCAAACATATTAAAACTTATATTTTCGCGCTAATCACATTCACAAAACTCAGTAGTAGTACTACTACTAATAGTATTACTTTTAGTATTAATAAGTATTATTAATCTTAGTACTGGATATTTTTATTTTTAACAAAACCTTAACAGATTATAAAGGCAAAACCGGGAAATCCTTGGTGAGTCTCCTGTACTAATTGTACCATGTATAACTTTGAAATTAGATTAAATTATAATATTAACTTAGATCCTGTTTTATTTTTTATCTTTATCCACAGTACTTCAATACAGAATATGTCTGTTGATACAATGTAGCCAGTGGAAGCTTGGCAGAAATCTGTAACGTCATTATGACGCTTAACAACTAAATCAATCAGTGAAATACTGCTTTAAAAACGAATAAAAAAACACAGTTTTTTTACATTCATCATAACAAGAGATTTGATTAATCAGGAAAATATTAGAACGCAGTTTAATTTTAATGCTTATAAAAGTTTGATAAATACTATTATTAAGTGTATATTTTCAAAATATATCTTCTTTTTTTCGTTTTGTTTGAAAAGTAAAGCTAATAATAGGCTAACTAATTGTGCTCTGTCCATCATAGGGAATCAAACCCCAGATTTAATGTTGTAAGTTCTCTTGTTACATTATAGTATGCGTAAAGGTTTCACAAAAACACATATTCAATAAAATTATCAAGCTGATTTTATTATAATTGCCTTTGTTGTGAGATAGTAAATTCTACGTTTCCTTTGTTCTAGTTTTTGTTTGCCGTTCATTGTTAATATTGTTACGTATCTGCTCGTTTGATAATTTCCCGTAAAATTTCTTTCCGAAAAACTTC